TCCTTCTGCCACCGAGTGATGGGTGCCAAGGATTTATCCCCAACGCAGCAGAGAACTTCTATGTGTCGGCATCAGCTCTGTTGCACCTGATGTGAAGGGAGGTGAGCTCCTGCCAGACTCCAAGAGCCCAGCTCGTGGTGTTGGTGCTGTAAATACAGTTGCATGTGCTCTCCTGGGAGGAAGCCTCCAGGGTGCTCATGCTTTCCCAGAGGAAAAGAAAGAGAAGGAAAAGCAAAGGGTATGAAATCAGCTCTGAAAGGCATTGTGGTGCTTGAGCATCTGAGAGTCATGGAGTGGGTGAGCCATGCCTGAGCACAGCTGCACAGCAGCAGTAATGAGTAGCTCATAGGATGCTTCCAACATACTAGTGGACCATGCAAATGTTTTGGTCTGAACATACTGACACAATGAAAATGGGTTTAGAGACATTCCAGATCTTGCACACGGTCCTCAAATGGGACATGAAGAAGTGACTCCATCTCTGAAGCTGCTGATGTCCCTCTGTGGAGGGACAGTTTTCCAGCCCAAATGGGGTTACCCACATGTAGTGCCTGGATGTCCAACAGCTGAGCTGGTGCCTCTGGACTTCCACTGTATTCAAGGGTGAAAAACAGGCATTTTGAGGCAGGGAAGAATTGTCCCAGGCTGAACTAATAGGCCTTTATCCCCCTGACCAGCCTCAGCTGGGGCTCCATCCCCACTCTCTTCCTGTTGTTTCCCCCATCTCTATTTAAACTCAGAACAGGCAGATTGAGCTTTACTAGAGGAGTTCTGGTTTCCAGTTTAGTAGGAGTTCAGCACACCTATGCAATCTTTTGGTGGTCACCTAGGATTTCTCATATATCTTCCTCGCAATTTTTTCACCTGATCCTGAACAAGGGATTGACTTGACCTGACTTGGCTTGGTCTTGAATCTGCCTCCTCATCACCAGCTTTCCTGATGCTATGGAGCTGTGGTTGAACTTGGCCCAGTTCTCTGTTCCTGCCCTGCTTCTCTTGCTCAGGTACCGTGAGATGGTCCCTGCACACCAGGGTGTTCTCTCTTGGTTCCGTTTAGACAGATAAAGGAGACAAACCCCTGTGGCAGACCCCAGGCTCCTGCAGAGTAGAACCCATCACCCTCTGCACCTGACAGCCCAGCCAGTGCTCACTGCTCTGACAGTCATTTTCCATCCAGAACATGTCCCTACAGGAACAAATTAGGAGGAAGTTTTTCAGTGATGAAAAGTAGAGTAACAAGTTGATCCTTACATTCAAGCATTGTTATCTTTTCCTTAGTGCCTTTTCCTTTACCAAGTATAACATTAGACTTTCAGTCTTCAGCAGATCGGCAATACTTTGGTTTGGAAGTATCTTTCGGGCGATGTTTATCTGCTGGTTTTGTGACAGAGGACACCAGAGCTTCAGTGACACCAGGGACTTTGGTTTCCCCAACCTCTTCCTTAGGCTTGCAGGCTTGGTTTGGAACCATTTCTAGGTCTTGCTTTCTTCCTATGACTGGTTTGTGCAACAAGACCACAGATAATCTGATTTATCTACACTCTTTTATTGCCCTTAGTGGTTATTTTTTTTTCCCTGTGTCCTGGTCTTTTCTGATCTACACTTGACATTAGAACCTGGCTCCTTGCTAGCCCTGTCAAAAATATCTTTCAAAACTGTCAGCATCTCCAGGTGATAGCTTAAAATCTGCATTGTGACATCTTTCAAACTGCAAACTCCAGCACCTCACTGCACACCATGGGGCAGGATGAAGGATGCTGGGGCTCTGCAGGAAACAATGTACATTCTCATATGGATGCTGATGGCTTCTGCCCCTGGTGGTACTCTGGTGATGGAGGCACTGGGCAAGGGCTGAAATCCCTCCCTGCTCTGCATGGAGCTGCCTCCAAACTGGGATTCAGCTTTCACTTCTTTGGGATCAGTGCTTAAATCCTTCTTGTGTCCATCATAGCGGAGAGGAGAGCCTCTGCCCTCCATGTGCTGCAGGGTGGCCACAGGGGCTGTGTGAGCAGTGCGAGGATTTGGGACCAGGACTGATGCAAAGCAAGGAGGGACCATCTCCTCACATCTCCCCTGTATCCATCACTACACATTCATACACATACGCCATGCCCTGTGGAGAACTGACTCAGTCCCATTCATCTCCCACTGTCAGCCAGGCTGTGGCTGTGGGGCTGGTATTGAACAGGGAGATGAGGAGGTGAGAGATGCAGAGTTGACAACAGGAGGACGGTGGAGGGGGGTCATCCGCAGCATCGCACCGTGTCCTGCAGCTCCTGTGAATGGTTTTACTGCTGGAGAGAGAGAGAAAGGGGAGGATGTGGCTCTGGAAGGGGTTGGAACCCCAAATGATGCCCAGATTGTGTGGGTTTGCTCCCAGTGTGCACTGCCAGGGGATCTGGCCGATCTCTGGTGGGAATCCGTGTGACATGCACTTTCCTTTCATGTTTGGCTGTAGAAGGAGGTTCCCCATGACCCCCATGAAAGCTTTAACCTGTCAGAGGGGAGACTGAGATGAGCTCTTAGGCAGAAGCTCTTCCCTGTGAGGGTGCTGAGGTGCTGGCCAGGGTGCCCAGAGAAGCTGTGGCTGCCCCATCCCTGGCAGTGTTCAAGACCAGGTTGGACACAGGGGCTTGGAGCAAGCTGCTTTAGTAAAGGGTGTCCCTGCCTGTGGCAGAGGTTGGACCTGGAAGAGCTTTAAGGTCCTTTCCAACACAAAACAGCCTGGGATTCTGTGACAGGCTTGAGAGCATCCATCAGAGCCACCACCGACAAGGGCAACCCTAAAGCACCCTTCAGAAGGGCCCTTTTCCCCTGTTGCTGCCCATTTCAGTCCTTTACCACACTCCTCACTGTTCCTCCCCATCTCCTTCCTTTCACTTTTGGGCACCGCTCCCTCAGGCTCTCCTTTCTTTCTTGTGCCTGATGGGTGGAAGAAGGTGAATGTCATCATCAAGGAGAGCACAAGGACTGGGGCTGCCTCAGGCCCACTGTGATGAAGATCCAAATTCCCCAGGAAGCTTTCTCCAGGCAGAGGAAGGACAGGAGGGTGACCATGAGCAGCCAGCACAGAGGTACCAAGGCCAGTCACGCCTGACCAACCTGAATGCCTTGGGTGATGTGAGCATTGATGTTTGCTTGGACAAGAAGTAGTGGCCAATATTTACCTCGTCGTTAGCAAGGTCACCACGATCTTCTGTTGGCTCCTTTGCAGCCAAACTTGTGAGCTATGGTTTGAGTACAAGGAATTGAAGATGGGTGGAAAGCTGGTTCACTGCGCATGGTGCCTGGCATTGGTGAGGGACCCTGGTACCAGCTCCCACTGGCAAGGTTCCTCTCAGCTCCCTGCCATGATAATGTCAACCATGGCCCTTGTGAAGCTGTAACTGCCTCAGAAATGCTCCAAAAGTGGATGTCAAAGGTGGAGTTTTTCTCTGTTTTGCTCTAAGGGAGCCGAAAGCCCTGTTGCTCGCTCAAGCTCAGGTCATCTCCTCTGGGTACATTCTCCTTCTCCAAACTAATCAACACAGAGAGGAGATAATGACCTGCTTTGGGCTTTGTCACCCTCCTGGGGCACAAAGAGATTCACAGTCCCACATCCCCACATCACTTGAAATAGGAAGAGGGTTTGCTGATGCTGGCTCATTCCCAGGCTCCCTGCACAGCTCCAGGCACGTTCATCTTCACATCCATCTCCAGGAGCATCAGGAGGGCAGCAGAGACAGAGCTGAGATGTAAGTGAGGGGCAGCATCTTCCAGCCCATCATTCTCCTGTGATTCTCTCTTGCCAACAAGCAGCAGCTCCTGTCCTCATCTCCTGCCCTACTGCAGGGTCCTGGGCTTCTTGATGATGCTCTGGGCTTCCCAGGGAGCTGCTTGTGCTGTGTGCTCCCCACGTTGCTGCTGAGAAGGCAGGTTTGGAGATCACCCTGGTGGAGAACACCCTCAGGAGGCTTCCTCTCCTCAGTGACCACAGATGTTTCCTGGATGAGCACCAGAAGCTTTCCTGTACAGGACATTCAGGGTGCTCCCCATTGCTGAGATGAGGCAGCTCCAAAAGATTACTTTTTTTCCCCAAAACATGGGTTCAAGAAGAGTTTGCTGAGCTCTGGGGTTTGCCCATTTGTATTGGAGACTCAAGGAACAGGTTAAAGAACCATGAAAATGTTTTAGATCTGACAGAGTGTGTCAAGGGGGAGGGAAAACTGATACTAACCACTGTGTAAAGTTGCATAGGATCATAGTATGGTTTGTGTTGGAAGAGACCTTAAATCTCACCCACTTCCAAGCCCCTGTGATGGCCAGGGACACGTTCCACTAGAGCAGGTTGCCCTGTCCAACCTGCACTTTGGATAGGTCAGGAATTCATTCCAGTTAGGAAGAAACTCAAGCAGAGAGGGAAGAAGCGGGTGGTTGGGAAAAGCCCAAAAGAGGATGAGGGATCAGCTCTGCACTGCGAAAGCACCACGTTTCTCTGTGTTCCAGGTTGAGCCGGATGGTCTCCAAGCCCCAGGTTCAGCACTATCACAGGCGAGGAAGTGCAGCACTAAGGTAAAGCTACCTGGGTGTGCAACCTCCCCACTGCTTTCCAGAGTGGTCATTGCTCAACATCTCAAGGTGAGCCACAGGAGCACACACCACGTTGTGCCATGGTGTTCAACTGCTTGAGCACCCCTTTGTTCTACCTGTGCTGGCACACGACTTTCACCAACCTGTTCCCCACTGAGCTGTGCCTGAACTCTCCCTTTCCATCCTGCGGGACTGTCTCTGATCAGCTCCCACCACACAGTGGCTTTTCCACCTGGGACATCCCTGCCTCTTGGAGAAGAAAGCCCCAGCCAGGAGCTCACCCACAGAGCACCATCCAGCCCATGGCACAAAGCAATTGCACCCAAGCAACCGAGTTCAGTCTGGCAGGGTTCACAGAGGACCCGGTGACTCAGGTCTACTTGTTCCTGCTCTTCCTGCTCACCTACCTTGTCACCATTGTGGGCAACCTGGGCATCATCATCTTAATCAGGGCCAGCCACCTCCTCCACTCCCCCATGTATTATTTCCTGGGCAATCTGGCCTCTGTAGACCTCTGTTCTTCCACTGTCATCACCCCCAAGTTGCTGGTTGACTTGATGTCAGAGAAGAAGAGCATTGCTTATGCTGGGTGTGTGGCTCAGGTCTTCCTCTTTCAGCTTCTTGGGATAACTGAATGCTTCCTGCTGGTTTCGATGGTCTATGACCGTTACGTGGCCATTTGCCATCCCCTGCTGTACCCCCTTGTCATGTCCCCAAAGTGCTGTTTCCAGCTGGTGACTGCCTCGTACCTCATGGGGCTGACCAATGGCGTGGGACAGACCATCAGCATGTCCACCCTGTCCTTCTGCAGCTCCAGCACCATCGACCTCTTCTTCTGTGACATTTCCCCCCTCATCTCACTTTCCACCTCTGACACCACCCTCAGCCACACCATCCTGACCACTGCAGCATCTCTCTTTGGTGTGTCCAGCATCCTGGTTATCCTGCTCTCCTACGTGGCCATCATCGCCACCATCCTGAGCATCAATTCAGCCGAGGGCAAGCGCAAAGCCTTCTCCACCTGCACCTCCCATTTCACTACTGTCAGCATCTTCTATGGGGCATCCTTTTTTATGTGTTTATTCCCCAGCTCAGACAGTTCAAGGGCAGCAGATAAATGGGCTGTGGTGCTCTACACCGTGGTGACTCCCATGCTGAACCCCTTGATCTACAGCCTGAGGAATAAGGAGGTGAAGGAGGCATTGAGGAAGCTCACAAAAATAAGATGATCTTGAATGGTGCAAGTTTACGGCCAGACAGAATGGAGATGTGGGGTAGATGCTCGGGTATCAGTTAAGTATGGACAACATGTTGGGTGTCTTCTGAAACCAGACTTACATGATGCACTGGTTGATATGATTGAAAATACAAATAATTTCACTCTCTAAACTTTGATAATTATATTTAGTAGTTTATTTCACTTAATTAGTTAATTTGTACTTTATTTCACCTAACGAAGAAACAGGTAGACAACTACAAGCATGCTCTCCTCTTCATCTCAGGAAAAGGGGGGACTTGATGGCTGCCTACACCTGCCTGAAAGGAGGATGGAGCCAGGAGGGGGCTAGGCTCTGCTCCCACGGAACAAGGGATGGGACAACAGGAAATGGCCTCAGGCTGCACCAGGGCAGGTTTAGATGGAGCTGAGGAGCAATTCCTGCCTCAGAGGGTGCTCAGGCATTGGAACAGGCTGCCCAGGGCAGGGCTGCAGGCACCGGCCCTGCAAGTGCTCACAAACCCCTCAGTGCCATGGGTTAGGGGTGGCCTCGACAGGGCAAGGGAACACTTGGAGTGCATGAACTTAAAGATCTTTTCTTTTTTGCTCTCCCTTTTACTTGGCAAATGAGAATAAACTGTGAATTCTACCGTTCCAGTGGATCAAACTTCATTTCATAATGGTGTTGTTAAATCATTAAGGGCCTTAAGAAAAGGACAAAAACACCTTTAGCAAGAACACCAGAAATGATAGCAAATAAGTGTGATGCCATGCAGTCAGTATTATTAGGTTTTGATGGACAAAATGATTTCCAGCACCATTGACCTCATTTCATTTTAGACAGCAAAGAATTTAAGTGAAATATGGTACTTGTATTATGACTGAACGCGCTTTGAAAGCATTTTAAGACGTGATAGTGATGAATCCCCACCAAAGGGCAGAAACTATCAAGGAATCCCCATCCACTGCTCCACACCTTTGCTTTCCATTCCCCTGTTGGCAGCAATAGAAGCTGTTGCAGAATGGCTCTGAGAGCAAGGCCATGAATCCTTGGAGGTCTTCTGCGAGCAAAGCAAAGTGTAGGCCTCACATGTACGTGACTTAAGCTGAAGGACACACTGTCCTTGAGCTCTGGGGAAAGTACCGAGAACTGAATTGCAGCTGATGTAATGAGGAAGATCCTTGAAAACAGAAACCGGATGTGGGAGGAGAATGTAAATGAAACCGTTTAGAACTAACCAATGCTGTTGTGACTAGTAGGCATAATTAACACTATGAGGCTATAAGCGATGTGCGACATGAGTAAAGTAGAAGCTTGCTTATCACTCATATTGGGTTGTCGTGTCTTGCTTCTCCTCGCCGTCAGCAGAAGCCATGGTCTCCATGGCAGCCTGATCACAACAGAGACCAGGAGCTGTGGTGCTGTTCAGCAGCCTTCAGACCTCCTACGTGGCAGCCCCTGGCAGCCTGGAGCGATGGCATTGCCTGGCCTGATGTCTCTCCTGTTGATTTCCTGCTCAGAAAGCTGAATGGTGGTAGGCAAACACAGTATACATAAAACACCACAAAACACATCACTTTGTGCATTACCTCAGCCCATGGAGCTGCAGCCTCTGCCAGGACCGTGGTGAAACCTGGAGCCATGGCTGAGCCTTAGGACTATCCTAAGGACCCACATTAACCTAGGCTGGAGGGAGAAGGTCCATGGCTGGATTCAGTTAAGTCAGGATCTAAGTGGTTTTCTCATTTCTTAACAACACACAACTAACAGGCACCCAGGGTCAATCAGCTGAATCCTGCTTTGTTCCCAGAGCTTCCTGATAATTCCCTGGTTATTATTTAACCCAGCCAACGGTTGTTTTCCTCCTGAGCCTTGGGGACAAGCAGGGGCAGAGGTTTCACACCCTCCCTGGCCCCTATGTCAATGTTTGACTGCTCTTACAGCAGGGTTTTCTAACTCCCTCTGTTTCTAACTGGAATTTCCCATGCTGCATATTCACAATAGGAAATCTGAGATTTACCCTCATCTGCAAGATAACGCACATGGAGAACTTCCAGATGGCATCAAGTGAAAAAGAATGGGACACCATTAATTCTTGCATTAATCTTTTATCTGTCCCTGAAATCATAGAAGCATGGAATGGTTTGGGTTGGAAGGGACCTTAAAGCTCATCCAGCTCCAAACCCTGCCACGGGCAGGGACCCCTTCCACTGGAGCAGCTTGCTCCAAGCCCCTGTGTCCAACCTGGCCTTGAACACTGCCAGGGATGGGGCAGCCACTGCTTCTCTGGGCATCCTGTGCCAGTGCCTCAGCACCTTCACAGGGAAGAGCTTCTGCCTCAGAGCTCATCTCAGTCTCCCCTCTGGCAGGTTAAAGCCATTCCCCTTGGCCTCTCCCTAAAAGCCCTTTTTCAAAGCCCCTCTCCAGATTTCTTGTAGCCCCTCTTAAGGGATTCAAAGGCCACAATAAGGTCTCTCTAGTGCCTTCTGCAACAATATTCAATGACTTTATGTCCAGCTTCTCTCTCCTTCACCATCACCAAGTGTTTAAATAGGAACATGAGCTCTTAGTGTCTTAAAACACAAGTCTGTGGCTACAACCCTATCACTCTGCTCACTGTGGCTTCACATTGGAGCTGCTGCTATCAAACCCCAAAGATTTTTGCTCCTTGTTGTGTGTGTTTAAGGAAACCAGTGGTTTGCTGTGTCTAAGGGCTGCCACTGCCTTCAATGGTGTTATCATCTGACCAGGAGAGCAGAGCAAACACCAAGTGAGGTTCTAGGAAGCAGAAGCAGCAGCCAGCATTGCAATGCATCTTCCTGCTGGGTCATGATGAGCAGGCAATGAGGTGCCTGGCTTCTGGCATTCCTGCTGAGGAGCTCCTAATGGCTTTAGCTCCCCACTCTCAGGTGGAGCTGCTTTCATTGTAGTTAAATCTGGTTTAAAGGCAGCTGAGCAAATGCTGGGTAGGAGCTACCTCCCCTTCTTTGGGTACTTAGTGATTGGATTTAGGAATCATTTCCTATGCCCTTAGGGAAGCACTTATCCCTTAAATTGGAATGCACCATGTCATCTCTATGTGTTTACTGTGTCCATTAGCCCCCTTTATTGCTGAGGGAGATTTGGTGGGGTTCATTCCTCTCACTGCAAGGCAGACACCAGCATTGCTCCAGCTGAAGAGATCTGAATGAGCTCTGCTGATTGCATTGGCCTGAGTCTCCTTAGCTGTAATGGGACCTTGGCTCATAAACAGATAAGGAGAGACTTTCATGTTTGGCTTGTAATGTAAGTCATGTCTAAAAGAGGGTGAGTGCTGTCCTCTTTGGAGATGTCTGGTATGGCTCCCTTAGCTGTTGAGGTAAAAATGTCATGAAGCAAGGGGAACATTTTTTTTTCCATTTTGATTGGAAAGGATTTCAAGGCTTGGATTTTGAATGTGTGGATTCTACACTGAGGATGTGGTTCCTCTCCAGTGTCTGGTATCTAGATGTATAAGAAGAACCAGGAACACAGAGTACCAAGCTTTTCTCTCCAGGGTAGCTGGAAACTGAGCTAATTCCCTTCATTACAAGGGGTAATGGGTTAAAACTTAAACAGGGGAAGTTTAGGTTAGATATAAGAAGGAAATTCTTTCCTGTTAGGGTGGTGAGGCACTGGAATGGGTTGCCCAGGGAGGTTGTGAATGCTCCATCCCTGGCAGTGTTCAAGGCCAGGTTAGACAAGGCATTGGGTGATACGATTTAGCGTTAGGTGTCCCTGCCCACGGCAGGGGGGTTGGAACTAGATGGTCTTAAGGTCCTTTCCAACCCTAACGATTCTATGATTCTATGTAGAAATGAAAAGGTGAAATTCACTTTGGTTTTACTCCCTTTAAAACTGTTGGCCATGTTATCTTTATTTTCTTTTTGAAAAAGAATTGGGAGATATTAGAATGGCTTCTTTTAGACACTGTTATTACTTGGAGGAACCCTTCTGAGGTCCTGGTGGAAGAAACAAGGAGATTTTCGTCAAGTACTGGTGAGTTCATCTCTGTGTCTGCCTTTACCAGTATTGATGGTTTGATAAAGAGATGTTGGTGGCTTGAGATGAGCTCTTAGGCAGAAGCTCTTCCCTGTGAGGGTGCTGAGGCACTGCCACAGGGTGCCCAGAGAAGCTGTGGGCCAGTTTTAGGTCCAAAATGGGCAGGTGGAATCAGACAGACTTCAAAAAGAGAAAATGCTGAGTCCTGCCTATGAGGAGGACTTGCTCTAAGCACTAAGACAGGCTGGGGGGACCTTATCAGAGAGGGACAAGGCTCTTGTGGTGTCCACTGAGTTGAAACGAGCCATCAATGTGTCCTTGCAGCAAAGGCACCCACCAGCACCCTGAGAAGAGCATTGGTGGTGAGTCAAGGGACTTTGTGCAATGAACATCTGAGCACAGGCTGGGGAATGGGGATGTAAAAGCTGCTTTGGCAAGGGTGGAGGGAGAAGATGAATTGTGCTGAAGAAATGGTCATGTTGCTTGAAAAGGGGCTGATGGAAAGAGAGGAGTGGGAGGGGAAGGAGCAGGAATGCTCATTTCTCATCAGGCAATATGCTTATTTGAAGGTCATCTCATCTTTTTAAGGTCTGCATATTTCAGGTTAACATGAACAGCAGTCATCTTGTGTACATCTATACATACATACATGTTCTTTAAATAGAAGTAAGAACAGAGGAAGAAATATATGGAAGAATAATTCAGATGAGAAGGGGTTGGTTTTTCCCTTGAAGCTACAAGTACATGGAATTGCATTCAGGGATTCTGGTCTCATTTTAGTTGACTCAAACATCACTACAGAGTCAGAAAATCACTCCAATTTGATTTCTTATCTATTTAATGCAACACTAATTCTTGTGGCAGATTAAGGCATGATATTATTGTATTTACTTGTCCTTAAATAAGAACAACTCTCACAGACAGCAAAGAAATCATCCCAAACAAGCCTCCTTCTTAAAAAGAATTTGGATGCTCATGGGAAGATGCTTATGTTTTGCAGGACCAATTCTTTCCATAACAGGCCAGCCACAGCTTTAGGATTTAAGCTCTAAGATTATTTGTTTCCATATAGGAACTATTGCCTATTATTTTATCAAGGTATTATTTTTAATATATTATTTAGGACCTTCAACCATCATGGTTTTATCTCCCAGGAATTGGGTGCAGTCCTAAAGAAAACCCCAAATCCTGCATTAACCTCATGCCCTGTGTGTTCCTGTGAGCTGGGAGAAGTGATTCAACCTCTTCCCATGTTTCTTTGTCTCCTGCTGCCAAGAGAGTGGCTGGAGGAAAGCACTTGAGTGTGACCACGTTTGTCCTCTTGGGCTTCCCCAACGTGTAGAAGCTGCTCTTTGGAACTGTTTTACTCATCTCCAACACCATGGTGGTGGGGAACCTTATGACGACCAGCTCTCAGCTTCATGTGCCCATCTACTTCTTTCCTCATAGGAAACATACTTATTTCCTCCGTAGGATTTATCTGGGTGTCTTGCTTTCCTGGATTGGCCTGCTTCATGGAAAGCTGCCACCATGCTGACCTCGAAACAGAGTGTAACTTCATTCCCTGTGATAAGCAGTCACGCAACTTGGTTCGGGAACAACCTTTCAAGGCACTCTCTGAGCAGGGTTGGATTTTCCTTGGATGCCATCTGGTGCTGACGACACAGATGCTCCATGCTTCTGGCCATATGTTGTATGCAGACGTGCCCAACTTGTTTCATGGCTCGAAGATTCTCAGTGTGGTCTGGAACTACCTTATCACTTCTTCATTAACTTATATCTGTCCCTCCAGGCCAAGCTTATTTTCCATCCCAGCTGCAGCTTACTCATGATTTCTCATTCCAGGGTTTGGGGGTTGAGTCACATCAGTCCAAGGAGTCATCCTATCTAACTGTAGGCTTTCACATCTGAATTAGAAACAGAAGGTTCCTCTTATAGAGACAAGGATGCATCTGGGGCCTTTGATTCAGCTTGGATCTATTTTAAGCTTCCATATCAGGGAAGCTGGTCATTTTGCTCTTCTGGATTGGCCTGCACCATGGAAAGCTGCCAGCATGCTGACCTAGGAGCACAGCGGAACTTCATCCCCTGTGATAAGCAGTCACCCAACTTGGTGCAGGAACAGCCTTTCAAGGCACTGTCTAAGCAGGGTTGGATTTTCCTTGGATGCCATCTGGTGCTGATGACACAGATGCTCCATGCTTCTGGCCATATGTTGTATCCAGACATGTCCAACTTATTTCATGGCTCAAAGACTCTTAGTGTTGTCCGGAACTACCCTATCACTCCTTCATTTCCTTATGTCTGTCCATCTAGGCCAAGCTTATTTTCCATCCCAGCTGCAGCTTACTCATGATTTCTCATTCCAGGGTTTGATGGTTGAGTCACATTGGTCAAAGGAGCAATAGTATCTAATTGTAGGTTTCCACATCTGAATTAGTCACAGAAGGTTCCCCTTATGGAGACAAGGATGCATCTGGGGGCCTTGATTCAGCTTGGCTCTATTTTAAACATGCATATCAGGGATTTCTTCTGGAAAAAGTGGATGGTGCTCTGCATTTGCAGTGAAGAGTGATGCGCAGACACAACTACAATGTGGGTTGTGTTCAGAGCAGACAGAGGCCATCGCCTGAAGAGTAAGTTTAAGTCTTATGGGAAACATCAGCTCACTGTGCTGATGTGTTGAGGTCCTTCAGAAACCCCACTCAAAAGTGGGGAGGTGCAAGCAGCTTCTCATACAATAATAGAATGGTTTGGTTTGGAAGGCAGCTTAAAGCTCATGAAATTCCAGCTCCCTGCCACACCTTCCACTAGACCAAGTTGCTGCAATCACCATCCAACCTGTCCTCAATCATTTCTCTTGGTCAATAATGTCTAATGCAGTAGAGCCTCAAAGCTCAGCATGCATAAATCACTTCCTGGACAGAATAGGAAAGAAAAATGGATGTCGGCAGCATTCTGGCTGTGTGTTTGCTTTTATAAAGGTTGCTAATAGCAGATATTAAATTCCTGATGAGGGGTTTCTATTCTGCATGGATGGATAGGAAATTATTGCCTAGAAGATACTAGTGTTGGTTTGCTATTTTTAGAGCCATAAGAAAGGAACTTTTCCCCATAAACCTGTGCCTAAAAGGGGTTTCAGGAAACATGGAGAGGGGCTTAGGACAGGTGCCTGCAGGAAAAGGCCAGGGGGAATGGCTTTAACCTGTCAGAGGGGAGACTGAGATGAGCTCTTAGGCAGAAGCTCTTCCCTGTGAGGGTGCTGAGGTGCTGGCATAGGGTGCCCAGAGAAGCTGTGGCTGCCCCATCCCTGGCAGTGTTCAAGGCCAGGTTGGACACAGGGGCTTGGAGCAAGCTGCTCCAGTGGAAGGTGTCCCTGCCCGTGGCAGGGGTTGGAGCTGGAGGAGCTTTAAGGTCCCTTTCAACACAAACCAGGCTGGGATTCTATGATCCAGGCCCATGAAATTGTCCTTAATACACAAACATGCCTTACGCACTGACCCTCCAACTCACTGGCTTTGGGCATGAGCCATCTCTGTCAAGCAAGGCAGCTGTAGAAGTGAACTTTGTTGTTAACAAAGAAGAAAGTTTCTTTCTTGTTATCCCCAGCTAATTAATCTCTGATGGCTTGTTATGAAGAGTGAGGGAAGTCACATCCAAGTTTTCTGAGAAGCTTTTGTGGTGATGAGGAAACTTCCTTGGTAAACCCCAGAAGGTCTTGTTAAAGCTGATGACACCTGGAAGGGTGCTTGGTCCCCAGGACCACTTCTTGCTTTGGCAAAGTGAGCAGCATCACTTGTGATGGAAATAGCTGTGAGTGCTTGTATTGTGAAAGCCTGGATTTTGGGCCTGCTGGAGGGCTTTCTGTGCCCATACAAGCTTGGTCCTACTCTCTCTCTAAAGACACATCCCTGTCTTCATGACATGTGCAGATAATGTGGTTCTTGCTAATGGGGTGCTTTGTCCCTTCCTGCTTTTGACCCCTAATAAAGGGAGCTGGGGAAGCTCATTGCATTTCTCTTCACTTTTGGGCCTCCTCAAGGACACTTCATACATTGAATTTCTTGTTACTAGTTGTCTTGGGATGGATTTATTTGTGTCTCTCTTTAGTTCTTTACCTGTTAAAAATGTCCTTAAACTGTTATTCCTACCATTATGAATTTGGGATTGGAGAATAAACATGGGAATGGGGTCACCTGACTCAACATCTAAAATTCCTTGCCTAGTTATGAGATAGTCAGGACCCTTCTAGAACGGATGGGAATAAGAGGATGTTTTATTACATCCTAGGACAGCTGGTGAGGATGGATGTGGTCCAGAGCAGGTCTGAACATCAGAAGGATTTGTACCATGCACCCTCTCTCCATGGTATGTGCATCTCCGAATAGCTTTCTCTAGATTAAATGAATTCCAGTCAGGATGTGAAGGCCTCCTAGAGGTCAAACTGGATCAGCTGCCCCTCTCAAACCTATTTTCAGTTTGTTTTAATCCAAAAGACAGGACAAGAGGAAACAGCCTCAAGCTGCACCAGGGCAGGTTTAGATGGAGCTGAGGAACAATTCCTGCCCCAAAGGGTGCTCAGGCATTGGAACAGGCTGCCCAGGACACGGCTGCAGTCATCATCCCTACAAGTGTTCACACACTGTGTAGATGTGGCCCTCAGTGCCATGGGTCAGTGGTGGCCTTGGCAGTGCTGGGGTAAGGGTTGGACTGGGTGAGCCTGAAGGAATTTTCCAACCTGGTTGATTTAATGAGTCTAAAAGGAGGTACAGAAACACACCTTCACTGAGCACAGGTGGGGACACAAAACTCTGATTTAATGACTCAACTTTTATTTACCTAAATTTGAAGAAGATGAAACTACTCCAGATCTCCTAATCCCTCCTCCCAACAGTCTTGAAAGCTTTGTTTTAGTTTTCCTTTCAGTTGGACTAAAACTTTATAAAAGAAAAGGAAAAGATAATTGAAGAACTAAGAAACCCCTTTTTCTGCATGCTTTCCTGTAAGTGGTGGTGGAAACTACCAGTTAAGTTTCAGGGAAGGATACAGATGCAGTGAAATGCTCCAGGTCAGGTTTGGTTGCCCTCATATAGATATGTGGTGCTATTTGCTCTGTCCTGAAGGGCCCAGGACATTGCCATGCACTTGACATGTGCATCATGCCACTTTCAGAAGGGTTTGGCTGCTTTGGAGCAACATCTGAAAGCTCAGAGGGAGACCGAGGGGCCCCTCCATGGTGTTAATGGTCAATGTTCAGGCAACTGAGGTCAGTCCCAGTTGCCTTTCTGCTTCCTGACATGGGTTCATCTAATCTGACCTGCTCTACCTGTGCTCATGTGTATATTTCATTGGGATAATAGTCTAGGACTATGGAATTGTGTGTCTGTGGTGCTGGCATCATCGTGAAGAAATAACTTGGGCAGCTCAGGAACAGGCACACGTTACTTCATGACTTCTGGTTGCCCAAAGCAGTGGTAAGTGCTCCATTCCTGGCAGCGTTCAAGGGCAGGTTGGACACAGGGGCTTGGAGCAAGCTGCTGTAGTGGAAGGTGTCCCTGCCCGTCACTGGGGGTTGGGACTGGATGATCTTACTGTACTTTTGTGCCCAAAGCTGTCCATGATTCTCTGACACATGTAGCTCTCGCTGAGCTACTTTTTTGGGCATAAGTAATGAATGTTTAATTCAGATAAAGCACAGTGCAAAGGTGATGTGCAACAATCCCAACTGCTGCTAACATCCCATTTTGTAACAGATATATATTGCATATGGGGAGAGGTGGGAAGGAGAGGAGGTCTGTCTGCACAGTGCCATCTCCTGTCCCTCATGACGCACTTCAAGATCAGGAGAGCTTGTGCTCCTACATAGACTGTGATAAGTAACAAAGGAAGGCACAAGCAAGACAAGGTCTGTGCGCTTCTTGCTGTGTGCATCATTAGGGACATAACCCCTGGGTTTCTTCTGTTAGGAAGCTGTCTGTCTCTTCATCAGTGTCTTCAGTGCCTCCTTCACCTCCTGGCTCCTCAGGCTGTAGATGAAGGGGTTCAGCATGGGAGTCACCACCGTGTAAAGCACAGATACCACCTTGTCCCTCTCCAGCACATAGGAGGAACTGGGACGAGTGTAGAGGATGGAGCCATAGTAAAGGGTGATGGTGGTGAAGTGGGTGGCAGAGGTGGAGAAGGCTTTGCACTGCCCCTCAGTTGAGCACATCCTCAGGATAACAACCGAGATGGAGACATAGGACCTGAGGATGAGTGCAGAAGGGAGGATGGTGTTGAAGGTCAGGATGAAGTAGAGGAGGGACTGGTAGCTGTCTGTCACATCACAGGAGAGCTTCACCA